CAGAACTGGCCAGAAACTTCAGCAACATTGGTTCCTCTTTCGGAGATCATAACTTTCTATACACAGCTTGGATTTCAATAGTCTTTATATCGTTGCGAAGCTGCAAGGAAAAGCTACAAGTTTTATGTTGAAGCCAAGAGCAGATTTGGACCGGAAGAAGGAGAAAATTGACCGGGAATGTGCTGCAACATTACGCGTTCAAAGGGAATGTATTCCCACCAAAAAAACACAAAAAACGGCAACGATGAGATGAAGATCGGTGTTGAATTGGGCTGCTATGGTTGCGTGCACGATGAGATCCGAAATGGCAGCAAGTTTTCACCGGCGAAAAGAGAGAATTGCAGCAGCCACAAATCAGCATTGAATGGCTCCTCAATTGAGATACGAACACAAGGGATTCAGTCTGAAAATAGAAGGAGGAAATCGATGATTTTGGGGCAACGATAGAAGGTGAAATCCGGTAGCTCCGGTCAGCGGTGGCGGTGGAATCCGGCAAATCTTTGAGGCTGAAATTCCAGATCGAAAAAGGAGAAGAAGAACTCTCCAAAATTGCAGAAAAGCCCATTTCTCCAAAAGCCTCCTGCAACTAAGGGTTCAGACTTTAAGCCGCATTAAAAAAGTGCCCCAAAAGTTCCAAATATTGTGCAACCAAGTACCAATAGTTATGCTTCCAACTTTCAAGGACGTTCAATTTGGGCAGGAGATTTTTCTACTTATTCATTTCCGTCCATACGTGAACTTTGCCTATAAATATCATTCTTGCACCAAATTATAAAAAAGCTCCTTTTTTTCGTTTAACTTTAGGATCTCTCTTAGCACATTTTCTCCTCTTTTACTTCATAGTTCTTAGCTAGAGTTTTTATTTTGTGATTTAAATTAGACTTTTTAGTATGTAATTAATCAAGGGGGTTGGACATTAGCATATGGCTTTTGTTCAAGGTCCATGATAAGGAGAAAACACCAACTCTTTTGCCACTCTATGGAGTTGTTGGATTTCTGGAAAAAATTGGAATATGAATTTAGTTTCTCCTTGGAAAAAGGAGCTTTTCTTATCCTTTTTATCTTCATTTGTGATTTATTCATTATGAGTTTTGTTTATCCTTTATTATGGTTGTTTAAAATGCATAATTTCTAAGTAGATATTTTGTTGATTATTCTTTCTCCTAATCTATGCCATGTAAGCCATGAGACGTGTGTGATTTGAGTTCAATAATTAGCTCTTAATTTGTTATATCATACAAGTTAAATGGGTCCTTTGACTTGAAATGTTTTAGGACCTTTATGAATGACTCTTTATCTTCATAAATGTAGGACCTTGATTATTAGAACTCTTGTAATTCTACTTTAGGCATAAATAGAATGAAGGAGTGGATTGAAGATGTTAATTGGTTTAATCTAATTGGCTAAGGTCACCTAGGGGGTTAATCATACCATTCTAGGGACTAGACATAGAAACTAGAGAGAAAAGCAACATCATCCCTCAATGAAACACCTCTCGTTGGGGATTTTATGTGAATTATTGCTTGAGTCCAATGATGAAATATGAAATGCATGCTTGTGTGCTAAAGGTTTTTGTGTAGTCTTTGATTACATGGAAAGTAAGACCACTTTGACTTGAGATTGTGGTAACTCTACGACACGGAAGTGTAAAGAGTGAATCAATAGGCCTAAACCACCACACTTAATCTAATGACTAGATAAGATCGAAAGAAGATTCTAGCATTGAGTTTTAACAACTAGAAATAGAAGCTAGGGGTGTAAAAGGCAATGGCTCCGTAATTTCCAAAATCTTATTGATATAGTTAGGTTGAATGAATCGACTTTCATCATATCTTAGGAACACATTAGTAACCTTATTGCCCTTACTATTGTCCTAGCCCTCCTTTGCTTTCGTCATTTCCCTTTTCCTTTTACTTGATTTCTAGCATCAATATTTCTTTGCTTGTGTTTTTAATATTTTGTTCTTGTAAAATTATCTCTTTTCTCAACCTTCACAAATTAGCACTAATTTAAGAAATAACGTCCTCACGGGATCGACCCTTACTTGCACGACATAACGATGGGCTTTCTCTTGGGTCTTGAGTACGTGCAAACAAGGTTTTTGTTATTTGTTTGCGTGTGTGTAGTTCTCATATACATCCAAATCGCACCATAAACAGACGGATTTGTATCTTGCAAGCGAGATTGATCCACCATGGTTGACCAAGCAAAGGGAGAAGGAGGTTCACATTATGGAAAAATGGTTTGCAAACTATTATGTTCATCTCAATTAAACTCGATGAAATTAAGGACGAACTGAGGAGAATTTAAGAATTGGCTTGCTGCTTGCTTCAATTTGGCTAGCACCTTTTTATTTCAACTGAAACTACGTGGAAAAAATGTCGTTCCTACCCAAAACTTTGCCCTCGTCGTCAATCATACCCAATAGATTTTCGGTCAGTCAACTTTACCCTAATGTTTGAAATTTTCATCAATTTTGTCCAATCGGCCTATTTCCGTCCAAATTGACTGATCTCCATTAGATTTTTAATAAAATAATAAATTTAAATTCAAAAACACCCCAGTCGTTTGTAAAAATTTTAAAATAACCCCTAAAATATATAAAAATAACAAAATAGTCCCTTTTCACTTTTTTATTTCATTTTCTCTATTTTGTTCCATTTCTCTCAACTACTTTTAATGACCATAAAAATATATTATATCAGTTTTAAAAAAATATTTATTTATTTCTAAAATCTACTATAAAAGTTAATCTTTGTATAGTTGTAACCCATGATTGTATTTCTATAAGCATGTTAATTTTTTTAATAATATAGTTTAGCAATAAAGATACTATTTTTTTTTTATTTTGTTCTTCCCAACGTAAAGATTAAAAACATTTAAAAGAAAAAATATTCCACATAAAAATAAAATATTAGCTAAAATAAAAATTAATATATCAGTATAGTTTGGTGTATTACAATTTAACTAGAGAGACTACATGGCATAATATAATTTATAAAAAATATGTTTATACTTATCAATGCGAGGATTTAATATTTTGTAATAATTATTTGAGATGTTAATATATTTAACTAAGAGGAAGTCTTACTAGCTTATTCTATATGATTTTAGTTTAAAATAAATGAATGGAGGTAAAAATATGATAATAAGATGTTGTGATAAAAAATAGGTTTTAGATTCAAGAAGGAAAACTTATGCATGGAGGATTTGTTTTAAGATTTTAATTATTTTATATTTTAGTTATTTTATTATGAATTATATTAATGCAAGTTATAATCTCTTGAGTTAAATTGTAATACACTAAAATATCTTAATATTTTTTTATTTGAGCTAATATTTTATTTTTATGTGGAATATTAGTTTCATTTAGATGTTTTTAATCTTTATGTTAGGAAGAATAAAATAAATTAGAAAAATAGTGTCTTAATTATTTTATATTTTATTTAATTTTTTATGAAGTATATTAATGCAAGTTATAGTCTCTTGAGTTAAATTTTATTATACTAAAATATATTAATATTTTTTATTTGAGCTAATATTTTATTATGTGAAATATTAGTGTCATTTAAATGTTTTTAATCTTTACATTAGGAAAAATAAAATAAATCAGAAAAATAGTCTCTTTATTGCTAAAATATATTATTAAAAAAATTAACATGCTTATAGAAATACAATAATGGATTACAACAATACAAAGATTAATTTTTAAGGTAGAGTTTAAAAATAAATAAATATTTTTTTAAAAAAACTCATATAATATATTTTTATGGTCATTAAAAGTAGTTGAGAGAAATGGAACAAAATAGAGAAAATGAAATAAAAAAGTGAAAAGGGACAATTTTGTTATTTTTATATATTTTAGGGATTATTTTTAAAATTTGTACAAACTACTGGGGTGTTTTTGTAATTAAATTTATTATTTTATTAAAAAACTAACGGAGATCCGTTAATTTGGATGGAAAATGGGCCGATTGGACGAAATTGGCGAAAATTTCAAACATTAGGGTAAAGTTGACTAACCGAAAATCTATTGGGTGTGATTGACGACGAGGGCAAAGCTTTGGGTAGGAACGATACTTTTTCTGAAACTACGTAGTACCCATCCAGCCTCAAGAAAAAAGAATCATATATATTTGTTAAACCTAATCGTGGAAGGAATCGCTATTTTCCTCCATTATTTTTTTTTCCCAAAATAATTACTAGGTCTGATTTTTTGTTTTTTAGTACAAATCGAACGGTCTATAAATTATCAAACTCTATTTGATCAATTAAAGGATTTTTAATAAAGAAGAAATATCATACCCGAATTAAAAATATTATTACCAGATAAAAATTTCATAATGTCAAATCTATTTACATTACTGAAAAGTAAAAAAAAAAAAAAGAAATGTAACAAAACCGAAAACCGACTATGTTCCTAAAGTCAAAACCGTGAAAGGTAAAAGTGTCTGGTATGATTATGGGTTGTTTAAGATCTTAATACAAACTGAAAATTTGCGGAATTCGTAGCCCTTTGCCGTTGAGCAGTTGGGGAGTCAATGAAAAAGACGAATAGCGGTTGATTGAACGTATTATATGGTTGAACAGAAAAAATAATAAAAAATTAATAGTAATTCAGAAAGGAGCGTATATATCACTGCACGTATCAGACAAGAGCTTCGTGAATTTGTTGTCTACTCGAAAAATTAGTGCAACAATCCATAACTTAACTTAATTATGTACCGAACATTGTGAGTGTATATATCCTTAATTGTACTATAAGAACATGGTTAGCAAAATTATCAATTATTATTGTAGGAAAAAGACTCTGAAACGTGTGAAAGTAGAAACTCCGAATTCAAATCCCAATAAGATTTGAGAGACAGATTAGATTTGAATTTAGAGAGGAATGGGTCAGGCGTTCGTCTATATATGTATACAAACTCCGTATATTTATAGCTCCTTCCTCCGTATATTTATATCTATTTTCTTTTTTTTTGGTTAATTGGGGGAATAATATGGAGATTGAAAGAAACGGCAAACGCAGGAGGAGGAGTGAGAGTCATGATGATGATAGTAAGATGGCTGAGTGGTTTTTGTTTGAGTTGTCATGCAAACTCCCCGTTAAGGATTTGTATCGGTTTAAATCCGTCTCGAAACAATGGTACTTTTTAATCTCGGATCCTTATTTCCCCAGTTTGTATAGATCCAGATTCCCCTTAGCATTAGGCCCCCAATTCGCCTTGACCCAATCAAGAACCCTATTGCCTGATGATAAAGAAGATTTCATCCAACCTGGACCAGAGTTTGACCTGCTTACTTTACCAACTTCTCCGGTAAAAGGGTCATGTTTACGGGTCATAGCTTCCGACAAGGGATTTGTTTTGGTGGGACGTCACTTGCTGACGCCAACTATAACAAAGACTCAATATGAATTCTTCATATGTAATGTTATGACCCATCACTGGTTTAGCCTCCCCGCTCCTCCGGTATTCTGTGACGCCCACAATTTGTTTCATAACGAATTGGGTGTGGGTTTTATAGCACAAGTTGATGATGAATTTGGGTTTTTGATTAGTTATAAAGTCGTAAATTCCAGGGGAAAGTTTTTATGTGGCTGCTTTATGGCGCAAATACTTTCTTCAGAAACAAGTCAATGGGAAGACTACTTCCGAGTATTGCCATCCCAAAATCATCATCATCATCCACTTGTTTTCTTTCGTTGTCAACACAGAGCAGTTCTTCTAAACACCACTCTTTACTGGAATGATCCTAATGTTGGATTCCTGGCCTTTGATCCGTACGCCGACGAAAACGATTCTAATAAGTTCCGGATTGTTGAATTCCCCGAAGACAGTGTGCGGAATGGATATATTGCTGGGCGGGCTTCCAAATGTGGGGTTTGTCAAGGACGTCTCATGTATTTCGAAATTATTCTGGGCCCAAAACAGGTTTGGAATAGATTACAGATATGGGAACTCGAAGAAAACATTCGTTGGCGGATTCGCCGGAAAGTAGAAGTTCATCCACCGGCATGGACGGACGCCCAATTCGTGTCGGGTCATCCATATGATCCGGATGTAATCTACTTGTATATGCGCGGAACCCAGAGATGGTTTTCATATAATGTCAACACCAAGACCAAGGCTGTGCAATCACTTCCATCATCGGTTAAAGATAATTGTGGCTGGTTTCTTATAGAGCTTCCTCCTCGGCCTTTCTTCATCCCACCTTCCTTTATGTCGGTTAAGTCGTTAAGATGTGAATCAACGACTGAATAATGATCAATCACTTGAAATTCACCGCTGGAGTTTAATAATTTACGAACCTTTTTAACCGCGTTTGATCAATAATGAAAATTCCTTTGTGATGGCTAGGAGACAACATGAGAGTGAGGCTTAAATTTTGTGGAAGCGATCAGATTCTTTGTTCTTTTTTAAGGGCCATGTTAATTTCATTTTAGGATTTTTTTTATTTTTTATTTTTTTTTGGCCATATGATATACTCATAGTATGTAATGCTATTAACGATAATAACAATTTGACAATTTGACAAATGTCTTTGACACTATGCCGAAACGTTGACCATTCAAGGATTACATTCCACCCAAGTTAAAGCTCTCTGCCAATGCAAAATGATCTCTCTCTCTCTCTCTCTCTCTCTCTCTCTCTCTCTCTCTCTCTCTCTCTCTCTCTCTCTCTCTCTCTCTCTCTCTTCTTCTTCTTCTTCTTCTTCTTCTTCTTCTTCTTCTTCTTCTTAAATATATTGCTTAATTAGCGATTGTTACGTAGGGATGTTGATGCGGATGATTTGAGATGATTTTGGCTTCAATTACTCCTTCCTTTATTTTCATTATTAAAGCATTTTGACATCATTTTATTATTAGGGTTCCATTTGTATTATTTAAATACTTTTGCCGATAACTTGTGACGGCTAGCTTTTGATCAATATATTTGAGATTATCTCATTTTGGGTTCACGATTGAACTCTCGCTTCTCTTAAGACTTCGGATATTCTCAGACTAAACGATCTCTTAAGAAAAGGTTGTCGAATCTGGAAATTGTTTACCAATTCAACGGATTTGACAATGGTTGTCCGTTTTATTTAAATCCTTGTCTTTCGATTAGGGTTTCGTTTGTGTTTTTGTTCGGATTTGAGTACGCACCACAGCATTAGTTGGTATCAGAGCCAACTATGCATTCCCGATTGTAGCTTGCGATTGCAAATTCTCCGGGAACTACACATACGGCGAGGGACATGTTGGTCGAGACCGAACCTTGGCGTCCTATTTTTGGCCATCCGTTCCCAAAGAAGTGGATCGTTATTTACGCCGTTGTTATGTTTGCGAAGACTCCAAAGGCTCCGCTTCTAATGCCGGTTTATACATGCCTTTGCCTGTTCCATCGCAGCCATGGGTTGACCTTAGCATGGATTTTGTGCTCGGACTGCCCTGTACTCAACGTGGTAATGATTCTATCTATGTTGTAGTTGACCGATTTTCCAAGATGGTACATTTTATCCCTTGCAAGAAGACGGCCGATGCAGCAAAGGAGATTTGTTTATTCTGCAACTTGCCAATTGCCGAGTTGGCAAGTTGCAGTCTTCTCTTTGGCTGCTCATTCTCTTCAGCCGCAATTTACCACTCTCATCATTGCCTGATCCTTTTAATCTTCTTCTCAGGCGCAGCTGCTCCAATTTCCAGCCACAAGTCTCTATTCCTTTATTCTTGATTCCTCAGCAGCCAATTTAGCAGCAGCAGTAAGCAGCAACATCAACAGCATGCTTCCTTCCATCATTATGTCTTCAGTCCCCAATTTGGCCTGAATCTTTTGCCCTTTTCCTCTGTGTTTCTTGGGTCACTTGTTATGCCATTGCTCACCCTTCTGTAGCAACCAATCCATCAACTCAGCAGCAGCATCAGTGGGTAAGTAGCAGAGTTGCAGCTGCTGCTTATCACATATTCTCCCTCTCTTCTCTTCTTCCACTTGCAGCAGCAACAACTTGCAGTGATGGAAACGTAATTTCCTTCTTTGGGCATCAAGATTTCAGCTATTGGCTCCCCGTTGATTGACAACAGCAACAGCTATTGCTACAGCAAATTAGGCAGCAGAGCAGTTGCCATTCTTCCTCCTGATTGAGTTATGCTGCAGCAGATTCTTCCACTTGCATCCATCTGCTATGAATCTTCCTTCCTTAGCAAGAATTCCTCCACTTGCTCCATTTCTGATCAGTCCTTCCAATAGCTTCAATTCCGGTAGCTTCAGCTCCAATAGCTTCAATTCAAGCAGCTTCCAATTTCAGTCCCTTTTGATGCCTTTTAGTGTAATTTAGTCCTCAATTATGCTGATTTTCCATATTGACCCCTTGAGATACCTAAACTGTAAAATCACCCCAAAAGTAAACTAATTCTAACTAATTGACACTAAATTATAAGCAGAAATGAGCAGAAAATGCTAGCAAAAAGTGTATATATTTTTGCGTCATCATTAAGCAACTACTCAATTCAGTATAGCTGGATCTAATATAATTAATAACCAAATTTTTCACTTAAATGTACAAAAATTTGTTCATTGGTTTGTGTTGAATTAGAGCCATAACAGATTCACTTTTCATGTTCACAGAAAAGGACTTCCTCACAGATTTTGCAGCAACATTGGTTGCACCTTATTTCTCCCTCAACCCTTTTTCTCCTTGTGTATGTGGCTTTTCTTCTGGATCTTTCCAACTCAGACCCCTACCTAGAGCATATCTCCACTCAGTTTTCTATTCATAGTGGCTCAGCAACTTAGGGCATATTGCCCAGAGCATATTTCCACAATGGCTCAGCAACTTAGGGTATTTCTACCGGAGCATTTTTCCACTTCAGTTTCTATAGTGATTTCTCATAGTGGCTCAGCAACTTAGTGTAGTTTATTCATTTTTTTTTATTTTCCTCACTAGGCTTGAGGACTCCCTCTACTGGTTTGCCAAACCTAAACACTTAGGGGGTATTACTACCTCATTGGACATTCTTCCTAACTTCTTCATTTCAGATTTTGTAATTCAATTCAACCGTCTACCAATCCCCTTCCCAAGGTATTTAGGCTTTTACAGATCACCATGAGCTCTTACAGAGTCTACCATGATGCGAAGGGTTTCCTTAGTCTTCACTCAGAATTACAGTCCCCCCAGGTTTCAGACGAGTGGACTCCAGCATTAGATCACAACAATGTAGTTAGGCATTCAGATTTTAGCATTAAGTTCAGAACTCTCACTTTTGCAAGTAACATATTGTGCTCGAGAAAGTGAAGAACTACAAAACTGACGTCAAGTGAATCAACAGGTATTCAAAATTTCCAAATTTTCCGTACATTATAGAATCATCATAGACTTTTGACATTGTATTTACATCTACTAATTCATAGTTGCACACAATCTTTGAAAAAAAAATTCAAATTTTTTCCAAAATTTGATTACTGACATACTTAAAACACACATAAATCCCTCCCCTAAACTTAAAGTAAGAATTGTCCTCAATGCTTCTAAACACAGAGATGCAGGAGAAGAACAAACACATATACTAAGCATGCAATTTATCAGTAAAACAGAAAAATCATCATACAAAGTTGACTCAATCTAACCGAAGGACTCTAGATGCATAGATTAAAAACAAAAAAACACAAAAACAATCCTAATTAAAAGAAACAGAAAATAAAAGAAAAGAAAAGAATACTCCCCTGGGTGATTTAAGGGTTCATGTATGGGTATGGTGGTGCTTGTAGACTCCAAGGAGTTGGAATCTCTCCTCTCTCGTCTTCTTGCAAGAAATGAGCACCGGCTCTCATCATCAACCTTGTGGCTATTATTGGGAAGAAACAATATTTCTGCCTCTGGTTCAGGCATCGGTGCATTTGCCATCTGATTATATCTGCAGCATCTATAGGGATATTCATTGCAATGGCGTATAATGAGATAGCTGCATCAAATGTCACCATCACTCTACTATTGGAAGGCATCAAATTGGTGCAAATAAAATTGAACCATGGTTTGTAAGCTTACTTCAATTCTGCCATCGGGAAGTTCTTCAGGAATCCATGACTGTCAATCGTCCATATATCCTCTGTGACATCTTCACAAAGTGCTATTGGCAGTTCTCCTTCAGGTGTTTCATCCATCATATTGAATGTTGTATTTTTGTATGGAGGGATGTTGGCTGGTAATTCGAGTATTTCTTGAATTGACGCTTTGCTGATATCAATGGTTTTGCCTCTTACTACGATCACATCTCCATCCGCTCTCCCTAGAATACTGTAGAATTCTCTGACAGCTGTGAGGTTTGGTTAGACTGCTAAGATGTAGAATCCTTGCCAGCCACGTTCAATTATATATGAATGTGGATCTTTTGAGATGTCAACTTCCTTCTCCACAATAGACTTTCTTTCCCATGTTCTCTGATAGAAGGCTGTCCCTCCAGGTGTTGTGATGAGACCAGAATTTCCAATTCCTCTGAGGTGATTCCGATGCTCCTCCCTTTGGGCTCTAGTGGGATTCTTGGGAAGATATGGTGGTCGAGAGACAATCCCTTGAATTCGGTGTGATCTTTTCCAGGCAGCCTGTTTGACTCTTGCCATGGATGAAGGATTAAGGCTGTTGGTTCTTGTTGGGTTTTAAAGAATGGTATATCCGGTGATTTGGCAGAGTGGGAGGCGTTTCTCGAAACTTGCAAGAAGTGGGGTAGTGGACAGCCATTTTTCTTGAAGAGTGGGGGTGATTTGTTTTTCCCAAACTCATCATTTTGACGGCTTAAACATCCCACCACTATAAAGGTTTTAAAACAGATTTTTCTCTCTTTTTTTTTGGATTTTGACCAGACCCTTGCAGATTTTGACTTTTCCAATTGGTGAGTCAATATTCTCACTTGGGAGAGTGAAAGTTTACACTCTCCAGAGTGAGTCTCTGGCTTCTGCTTTCCTTCAATCAGAATTCAAGGTGCGAGGTTGCGTCTTTACTTTGTTCAATCTTCTCAATCGCAAAAGTGAAAATATCACTCGCCCAACTGAGACGACAGATCAATGTTCATTGCCTTGTGTAGATAATCAAACTGAAATGTTGTACCTCTGATTATATCATAGTCTACAAGGCATTTCAGGTTAACCATCCACACGGTCTTCAACTGAAAATTTCTGATAAGGGCTATTCCACCCTTTCTGATTACCACTTAAACAGATTAATTAATTAGCAAAAGATAATTGAAACAAAACTAAGAAGAACAAAATAACTTACCTTAGGTTACCTCCCAAGG